ATGCCTATGTTTGTATTCACCAAAAAAGAACACTTAACCCGTTATGTTGTCAGATGTACAGTGTGCGCGCTGGCCACAAAAGAACACATTTCAAAAATCCCACTCTTTCGTCGCCGAAATGAGCCAGTCTAATGCACTTGGCCCAAATTCAAGGACGCATATAGTTTTTACGTCTACCATTATTGCACGTAAGTGGATCGTCGTGATGATCTTTTTGAGCTTGGCTCCGTTCTATAATGTGCAAAATACACGCGCTACTCATTACCCATGAGTTTTGATGATGTGGGTTCCCACGTGTAAAGAGATTATCAGTGATTAATATGCGATGATTCGTCTGTCTGCCTGCGTTCTATTCGCTTTTTATCCAGTGAGCTCTGCATACATGAAATCACGGAATGAGAGAGAACATCAAGAGCAATGGGGAATTGTACAGCACAATTGCTTAGTTCGAGACCGATAATTAAATTCAAAGGGGGACGAACAGGACTATTTTAATTACTTCTAATTGTCACACTCAACCAAGTATAAAAAGATAAAAAAATGATCATTTGATGGTTACATCCTGTCGCTGTGGATGACAAACGTAGCTCTTCTTTTTGAAGTTTTAGATACTATACTGTTCGATATTTCTCTCATTCCATCCACGAGTGAGCCAGAAGAGCGAAAAGCAATGACTAATGTTGATGTCAACTTGCCTTTAGTAAAGATTATTAGGTGTAAAGTGCAAACGATAATAGCTGAAGTGATCGCCAAGGCATAAACTCGCTTACTCTAAACGTTCTAGCAAATAGTACTGGACTGTTTCAAAAGTTCAACTCGTTTTTGAGTCACCTTAATGTCACTAGAACTTCTTTTAGATCTGATGATCATTAGTGCAACAAGCTGAGTTACAATTTACTTTATTTTTCTATTTATTTAATCCTTGGCAGCTACATGAATCTTGCAGAGACCGCGAAAAAACTTTTTTAGCCTAAAGATTGACAATAATTCTTTTTTGGAAGCACTACAATTTGGGCTTCGGTAGGATGGCGTGAAGTCAGCAAATTATGTAGCCAGTGGTCAACTGAATAGTAATACCAAACTCGAAGTTGAAAATTTCCGCAGAAGTTCTTTCAGAATTAGTTATATACACAAATCGCTCTTTTTTGAAATGGCAAAAAATGCTATTTATCGACTTTTTGCTGCGAGAAAATTGAGAAGATTGTTCCAAAGTTTTGATATGGAATTACTAAGTTCCTTTACTATACATAGCAAGCTTTTGCCTGTGGAGATCATGGAGACAGATATAGGAAAATTTCCACATGGGCTTTGTTATTCTTCCAAAGTACGGATCCGCAGAGTGAACAGAGATGGGAAATAATGGGAAATAAAGCTTACTCAGGATACTAGAATAAAAGAGTTTTTAGATGACATAATGACTCTCATAAAAACACACTTTTCTTTAGGATTAACAAGGCAGGAAGAGGCACCAAAACGAGTAGAATATAACCTAATATTTCGCAAATGAAAAAGCTACCAGAAAAGCCTTGATTAGAATGAGGTAAAACCGGATTACTTGGGGCACACTTGATGTCCCGATTGGGCTACCCTTTTTTGTATTTTTGAGTAAGACCCATTATGTTTCTCTCATTCCTCTAATCAGGCAGAGTTGTTTCGTTAAACATACCCCAACAAAGATGTTGGGATGGCTGTTTTTAGAAAACTGGCCAGCGTTTAAAGTATGATTGTATTAGAGATTCAAAGATTCGATCAAAAGAAACTTGAATTAGTTTTGGTCTGAATGTGACTGGAATGCAGCTCCGTACAGCAGAAGTGTATAATGTGTAGAGCATACCGAGTTTAGCTTGAGTTTAGCAAGGGAATGTACCAATTATAGTCTCTTCACACACCGATACACATCTGGGACACCGATAACATATCTGCTTGCCAAATTAACGGAAAGAAGTTATGGACTCCTAATTTAAAGGTTTTGCCCTCTCTACAGACTACGAGAAATTATGTGTTGTGACTGAAACAGAAAAATTTTTTTGAAACGCTTTCGTGACGAAAACTACCGATATTCGCTATTTTAACGTTTCGGACCGCGAAATCGCGCGCGGCAAAAAAGAGTGCACCTGTAAGCCAACAAAAGGACCTTATTTCGTAAACTGTGTGCTACATCTATAATCAGCTTGTCAGATAAGTTCCATTCCCAAAGTTCTGAATGGATATGAAGCGTTTGAATTTTGTCGCTTGTGAAGGACTGCTGTGCTTTCCTGAAAGATAGGAACAAGAACTCGGTTTCTAATATTATCGAAAAGTATTTATGCTGTAACTGGTACACGTCAGTATTGAAACTACGGTTTTTTTGAAATGGAAGCAAAGGGAAGTTGCGACGTCGCACGCGTCGATCGCGCTGCCGGACTTGCGATTGTTGTTCGATTTGCGCTCATATCTCCTAAATAAATATCGGCGGCATAACTCTAATAAGCTAGGCCTTTGACTTTATAACCTTGGGCTAAAAGAAGACCTCCTGTAAACGACAAAAAGATCCTTCAAAGTAGGGTGCTGCACCATGTGCAGCACCGGTCCGAAACGTGTTAAGATGATACAGGTTGAACACGAAATTTTGCCAAAAGGAGACACAGGATTCGATTCGGTGCCCTTACTGCTAAAAGCCTGTTTTTCCAGCATTATCAGCGTTTCTATCAATGGTGCATCATTACTGGACTTGATTTGAGTGTAGACAAGTCTTCTATATCTGTGAAACCTTTGGATGCAAATGTCCGTAACTTCTTTCACAAAAAAGTTTCGCAGATTCGCAGTGCAGATATGTTATTAATGTGAAGGGACCTCAATGACATACACCTCTTTTCTGAACGCCATACGAGTCGATATCCCTCCCTCGTCGGATAGTCTCATTGCAAGTACTAGTACTAAGTGATTGAGCTAATCGTAAGACACATTCAATTACTATACCGACTCAAAGATAGTAAGTTAGTGTATGGGTATGTCCACTATACAGATCTTTGGAGTAAAGCGATAAGGCTAGTTTTGGTCAACTATAAAGCAAGGCGCGAAAACAAACTACTAATCAAATGCTTATCAGTTATTAACGAACCAGTGCGTCACCTCTGCTTCGCAGAGGCACGCACTGGCCCTACTTTCTGTATGCCTTACTCATTTGCGCATAGTAATAGCACTGAAACTCACCGCATTATGCAGGCTATCACGGATAATTTGTAAACAACTACTCATTCTTAGAGCTTTTTCGTGTGAGATCGGTATTTTCGCGTGGATAAAACTTCTCCCGGAAAAATAAATGTAAATTTGAATCGGTTTTTGGGTTTCTTATGGCGTGGTAGTCGCCATAAGTACAATAATCATCGTGGGCTACATCTCTGTGCAAAAATCTCCTCAAATGATCAATTAAATTCTTGGTAAATTGAACATTTATGCAACTAATTCTTTTTGGCGCCATCTTCGTAAAGTAATCAACATAATCAACTTTAGTTCAACCTGGGCTAGAGTCCATGGCTTCCACATTAGCTCGTCAAACATATCCACGACTTCGCAAAAAGTGGTGGTACAGGACCAATTTTGCTGCCTAGAAGCAAAGTGGATCCGTTTGAGGCGCGATTTTTGAGGGATCCACTCAGCGGATCCGCTCGTACTTTCGCATAGTGGACTTCTACGCTGCTCGCATGCGCCATGCAAATTTGGGATCAGGACGCTGGCTGGAACACGCTCCTCGAATTTCGTAACGGACAGACAGACACACACACACACAAAAAAAAAACGTAAACAATTTTAGCCCGTTATTATAAGTTATGATTATCAAAGAACTAGCTGGCTTACCCGGCTCCGCCCGGCCCTGTCAATATTATATTTGCGAACAGCATGCTCGATTACCCCCCTGTGCCAACTCCCAGCCCTGTAGCTCGAACTTTTTGGAAAATCAATAAAATCGATATCGATCGATGACGAAAAGTAGTCTACGACACCCGCCCGGCCCCGTAGTGTATGTATGCAAAGTTTGGTCCGGATCGGTTCAGAAATGGAATTTTCTATTCGGAACATACGTACACACATACATACATACATACATACATACATACATACATACATACATACATACATACATACATACATACATACATAGAGACAAACAGACATTCAGCTTTATATATAAGAAGATAAGCCAATCATGATTTTGCGCTGAGACATGACAACGGACGTTGCAAAGCGAGACAGTCAGGAAAAAAGACAATTCCACCAGGGAGCTAATAGAGGAGGAGCGTTTCAGCGCAGACTGTAGCCGGAGCAGGATGGAAGAAATGAAGAGGCAATGTGACGTCAAATCATAAAAATAAGAAAATGGAGGAAAAGTTTGTTACTGGATGCACATACTTTAGAACTTTACGGACCCTCCAATGTCAAGCCAATGTAAACCTTTGGTCCGAGCGAGACCCGGAACGCCAGCTAGCGTTGGATAGTCTAAGTATTTTTGCTTCTTATTGGTTTCATAGTTCACGCACAGTTGTCCAGCAAATTTAGCCGCACTTGAATTTACAGTTAATATTCTTTTAAGACGCATAACGGTGTATTCAAAGAATGAGTATGTTTAGCTGGACTATAAGAAAAAGATCTGAGCACCGTATTCCAGGATGTTCTCCGATTCGTCCGACGCGTACGGCTAATTGGAGGCAATTAGTGTTTACCCAGTAAGTCGCAGCCGGCCAGGTTTCGTCTGGTTTCCAGCCAGTCATATGCTCGATGAAAACTTATCGTACCGCAGCCTTAATTACTCTTCGAAATGAAACTTTGCATCTCTCTGTGCGCCATTACGGTCAGATATTTCGAAAGCCCCGAGCGCACGTCAACGCGAGTTCTCGATTCGGTTTTTGCACCAGAGGGCGTGCGCATGCACGGCTTGGAGACGGTAGCTGGCACAGCCTTTCCTCCGCACGTACATTCCGTATATAAATAGCACGTTATCGTCGTCGGCGGCATCAGTTGTGGTTGTCTTTCCTCTTCTGGCATCTCCTCGCTATCTCAAATCCTCGGGGCCCAGGCGATAAGAGTTAATGAGGATTTTCATTTTTAGGACAAACGCTCTCTGAGCATAGAGCTTTCGCAAACCTAGTTACTAGAATAATCAGCCTGTCATGGAGAGGTTTTGTATGTATTCTCAAGTAGCTCTCCTTATTATCGATCCTGCATCGCTGTCTTACGAAAACTCTGCATGTTGAAATGTTGGAAAAAGCAGTGGCAATGAAATTGCGAGATTCGGCGTTTATAGCATAAGCTTCGATGGCATCCAGCGCAATGAGCTCCAGAGTTTGAAAAAACTTTAGAGATAGTAAACTAAATGTGTAAGACTAAATTTCTTACAGTTCTTGAAGTCTCGAACCTTCGTCGATTCTGGGAATGGTTTCCCCAACTGATGTCAGAAGACACACTATGTCCACCATGGCCGCTATACCCGTTTCTGGCCCAACGGAGAAGAACCACAATGGCCAGGATTTCTACAAATAGTTAGGTTGAATTCCAGCGTCATTCCTGGTAATTACCTGCCCTTTGTAGCTTCTTCGCACATCATCCTGAAGTTCGAAAGTATTTCAAGGGGGCAGAAAACTTTACAGCCGACGATGTGGGGAAAAGCGACAGGTTTGCAAGTGTTTTAGGATAACACATTAGACACTACTCCATTCAGGTTTGACAAACTAGGAAATGCCATTCTGCTATCTGTGCATATTCTCACACAGACCGCAGACAATGTGAGTTTCTCAGCATACGATGGTAAAAAATTTTGATTCAGAGTTTTTTTTTTCAAAAAAAAAGCAATGACAGCAGTGATAGAAGCGGTTGTATTACAGGATAACGTCTTTCGCGGCTTCATCCGTGATATGCTTGACAGACACATTTCCAGGGGACTAGATCCCGCTTTGTGGAAGGTTACAACATCTTTCACTGATTTTTCAAAGTTGCCTCTAAAAATGCAAATTGAATCAAAATGCTTTGAAGCTTCAAAGCTACTCATTTGTGACAAATATTCAAAAAGTCAGCCATCTTTGTTTCAGGCCTTTGTAAGCATCTGGAATGCTTATATGGAGAGCAAAGGAATTACACTCAACGCTGAACAGAAAGAGGCTTGGAACACGCTAAGTGCGAGATTCAACGAAGAGTGCCAAAAATATCTGGCTCAAATTGGACAGCCACATCTTTGAACCGGACCATATTACTCTGGGACCATCTAAATGAGACCGACACCTGCGACCTGTACTCTGCTCTCGCGTTATGTTAGTGTTTTACAGTAGTGGTACCCAAGATATGGTGACAGTTATGCGGTGGATGTTGCGTTACAATAAAATAGGAAAAAGTTATATTTTGCAAATTGTTACAAAATTCTTTTATTCGCCTTGCAAATGTTGGTTTATAAAAAGTAAGTTTTTTCTGACGCGACAGTAACGAACAAAGAAAAAACAGAGAGTGGCTAAGTGCACAAACATTGGACATCGCCAAGAAAACTTTAGGTTTGCTCTCGCGTTGGCCAAAGAATGGTCTTGCAAAAACTTCTATGTAATCACCTCGCGTTCCATTGCCTTTATGGAAACTTGCATGGCAATAGAACTTAGATCGATTGATTTCGGAATGAAATCTTCGTCAGCATGACAAACTACCCAGGTTCAAAAAATGATGCTTTTTGTATTCTTCCTCAGGCGTTTATTGAAACATACAAATTAGATCATAGACATGGCGTTTTCAAAGTGAAAGGCAGTAAAAAAAGTTTGAAACGCAAGCGCCAAGTGGAACTAAAGTAGCTTAAGTGTACATTCAAATTATGAACGTGAATGGTTACCCCTTGGTTTGCATTTAGCATGGACTGGTTTCGAAAGTGTACTTGGAGAGAAATCGTAGTTTGCAAATGCTTTTGAAAATCTTGTTGGGTGCCTTTGAACATTTTTCGAATATTTTTAGAAGTGGTCAGTTTTTGTAAGAGCCTATGAAATAAAAGTAAATGGTTCAACGAGTAGATCTTGCAAACAGAACTATGCGATGCATTTGCATAAAGAGATGTCAGTGTAAACTGGTGCAGTTGCAGAAGTGCGGAGGAGGGAAAAAGAGACTTATAGACTGCATGAAGCTGTGAGAACTCGCAAAGATTTAGTGGTGTAATAATCGGCTTTTGGGATCCAACTAGGAACAGGACTCAAATTACACCTCCAAAAATGCGCCATTTTGTGACAAATGCTTTTAGAATGAAATCTTATGAATGTCTTACACATGCTTATAGAGGAACTACTACGGCGCCCATCAAAGTGGATCGAAAACGTTACTCGAAAAACCGCAAACCACCTTCTGTAGGCAGTCATAGCAATAAGAGATAAAGAATTGGGGAGCAAGAAAGTTTAGCAGAAGCACTGGAAAGAGAAGACGTTCCCAAAACTCTAGTACAAGCATAATTATTAGAGTGATCGCTAAAAAATGGGACATCTAGAGAATAAATGTAGATTTCTTAAAAAAGAAAAATGATTAAACTTCCCAATTTTGAAGGATGTTAGAATAGATTATTCTGTTTCAGAAAATACCTGTATAAGGTCATTTACATAACTAATAATTTTTATAGTGGCTGAAATGCAAAGTTAGTCACTTTGACAAATTATAAACTTTGGGCAGTATCTGCGCATTGAAACATGGGAGACCACCCAAAGTACCACTGCTGGAGTGGGTGGTGAGACAGTCACTAAACCCACGACAGCTTGATGGCCTCAACTTTAAAGTCAGGAGATATAGCCATTAGTAGCTTCGAGAACAAAGATACGCGTTATTCAATTCTTTGCAGGTGAACGCATGTTCTATAGGTACCATGTGAAAGAGCTTTTTACGCTCTATCCATCCCTATGCAGCTTACCTCATATTTTATCAATCTTCGGAAAATACAGATCAAAACTTCATTTATTGGTTTTTGTTGCGCCAAAAAATCGCGATTTCTCAGGTGTTTCGCTTTTTTTACCCAAAAATAGAAAGAAATCTTGTATGTTTAATACATTGTTTGAAAGAGCATGAAGAGCTCTTTCCAATCAACAGCTCTACACTGCTCTATCAATCAATCAACTGCTCTATAACTTTGCGGTATGGCAGCGCAAGAATGAGCGAGGTTCAAAAAACTTCAGGGCGCCACGCGTAGGGTTGTGGGAGAGGACCGTTGACGTTTTGCCAGAATAATAGGCGAAGGTCGCTTATATAAGCGACGTTTACGTTGCAGCCTGCTTGTTGTTGATCGAAACAAAAAATCTCAAAATTTGACAAAACTCAAGCTGCCCCATTTTTTAGTGATCATCCTGATAGAAGCAAGCGCTATACGAAAGGGTGCGTACATTGCGCACACACACTGATTTCATTGAGGGAACGGGATTCTGTTTTTTTCCACTAACTTTTCGACTTCGCACAGATGAGCGCTGTAGAAATCCGTTTTATTTAATGAAATTATTTTAGTACTAGCTGGCTTACCCGGCTCCGCCCGGCCCTGTCAATGCTATGGTTAAAGTCTTCCCTATCCTTGTAAAACCTTTCATTATGCCCACTTCTACATGCAATTCCCTAATCCCGCTGTGTTAGTAATTAGCATACCCACCTACCTCCCTCAACAACCCCCAGCACCGTAGCTTAAACTTTGCAAAAAGCAATAAAACCGGTAAAAGTAAGGATAATTCTGAAAACTGATGGCGCTATTCGGCTATCCGGCCCCAAAGTGTTGTTGTGATGGATCTTGCTCAAAGTCGGTACATGGGGATTATTAAAGCCGCTGATGACGAATATCGTAGTTATTTCGCGCGATAGCGCCATTTTCTGGGTTTACGTTGGATACACAAAAGAAGCTAAAATCATGGATTTCGCTGAAACTTTGAGTGGGCTAATTGACATGCAGATTACGAATATCATACTCCTTCGGCATCTTGAGGCGTTTCACTGAGTTATACTACTGCAGAGGGGCGAAATCTCAGTTCTGGCTGAAACTCGGTTTAGAGAGATTCGAGTTTCTGACCACGTCTAAAACACTCTCGTTGCGTTTTGAGACTTTTCGCAGAGTTACTGTAGGTACCTGGCGGGTAAAAATTATGAACCTGCCTGAAACCTTGGCAGAAAATTACCTAAAGTGCTGTTTCAGGAATATCGTGCTCAATCCCCACAATAAAGGCAATTCGTTTGGTATAAATTTCCCACGACAGTAATGATTTCCCTTATAGGACTACTGCCGCGCGCGAGACACCTTTGGGCGGCTTTTGCCTAAGCAAAAACAGGGGGAGGGAGATTTGCCGCGTGCGTTACGCGTTGGGACAAGTTATCAGGATGGCGCTGGAGACCCTATGCAAAACGATCGTTTCCCCATCTCTTGGATATCTGGGATCTAAATTGGCCCGAAAGCGAAAAAATGTCCATTCAAACCGCAACTCACCATAACTTCACTATTGCGTTATGACAGTGAGCAAGCATCATGTTCATAAGCGATGTACTTGTGAACCGTTACAGGTAAAGTTTTGAGCAAATCTGGAACTTCGACCCATGTACACCCACCGTAACCCAAGAAAATGCCTTATCCTGCGAAATCAGCGTGATATTCATGTTCAGCGCGCTAAATGACCTCCCTAGACGAAGTTTAAAGCAAATTTATGTCTTCGACCCCATGCCATATAACCACCACATCTCTATGAAAAGGTCCCGATATGCAGAGAGAGAGAGATGATATTCGTTATTAGCATATCGAGTAAGCCATATGAACCGAACTCCAGCCGAATTCATGATTTTGACTTCCTACTGTGCACCTAAGGTGACGGAAGGGAGGACGTTCTGCGGAGAAAGTGTGATAACTGTAATCAGCATGTAAAGGGCCGGGTATACTTCACGCGATTTCATTCGCGATGCGAATTGGCAACTCGCCAGAAGTCTTCGGATCCAACATTAACAAACTGCACATGCATAGTGTGTATAACTTACGTAAACTGATGAAATGCCCTATCTTCTGTACATTTATAATGTGCTTACAATGAGTTATGGACACCTGGAATATCGCGAAATCGCTTGAAGTATGCCCGGCCCTTAAGATAACCCTTATACAGAAATTTGAGCAAGCTCTACCACAAAAAAATTTTGGGCCCGGATAGCCGAGTAGCGCCAAACTAATATCGAACTCGTAATCAGCATGCTCGATTACCCCCCTGTGCAAACTCCCAGCCCAGCAATTCAAACTTTGCAAAAAATCGATAAAATCGATAAAAGTAGCGGATAATTCCAAAAACTAAAATTGTATTCGTAATCAGCATGCTCGATTACCCCCCCCTGTGCCAACTCCCGGCCCCGTAGGTAAACTCAGCAAAAAAATCGATAAAAATCGATAAGATCGATATCGATCGATGACGAAAAGTAGCCTATGACACCCGCCGGGGCCCGTAGTGTATGTGTGCCAAGTTTGGTCCGGATCGGTTCAGAAATGGAATTTTCTATTCGGAACATACGCACAGACACGCACACAGACACACAAACAGACATTCAGCTTTATATATAAGATGTTTCGTTTATTTTCCTTTTATTTATTCTATAAAAGCTCGTGAAAGCGGGCCAATAATATAGCACATAGCAATAGTATATCAACAGCATTTATAATTAACTATGAATTTATTTTTAACCGCGAAAAAGGGACAACTCAGCCAATATCGATTAGACAATTCATCCAACGCCCATTCTTACATAAAACCTTTTGATTGTCATAAATGTTCGAAAAATCGTCATTTCACATTCATGATTCCTCATATAACAATTGTATTTCGGCTAAAAGGCAACGGCCATAATTAACATGTATTCATTAATTAAGTTGAGAGATTTTGATATTAGGTCGTCCCGATCTAACAGTGCAAAGTTTGCGCCGATTGAGTGTCTCTACGAAAAGTTACGATTTTCGAGCAAGCAGTAGAAAAGGGCGAATTTGATTTATTTTGGCATTTTTCAGAGAAATCATAATTTTTCATAGAGACGCTCAATCGGCACAATTTTGCACTGTTAGAAAGAGCTAGTGAAATAACCTACAATACCGACTGCTTAGATTTTTGCTGCAAGTCTCCGATTTTTTATGACCCTACAGAATTCAAATTTGACCAATTTTCCATCGCTTCTATTTATGCAACAGATGATCATTAGCAAGCATCTAAGACGCCTTTATAAAGATCATGACCTGCTCTTTCATATAAAAATAAAAGCAGTCAAATCGGTTGGAAAAATCAGAAGTTGTGAATTTTTGAAAATCGTGCGCAAGAACTTTCGGGACGACCTAATATATAATTTCGTTATCGTACTTTTTCGTTATTGTACTTTTTCGTTAT